CAGAGAGGCAAAAACAGTCCCTCTCTGTGTGCTCTGAAGGACCTTGGCTGGAATTTGTTAGCTTTTTATAAAAACAACAACTCATCACCACTTACTAAAGGAAAGAAGATTATACTGTATAGTTTATGGAAGATTTTCTAATTTAAAAAAGAAAGAAACACACAATTCGCATCAAATTCTTACTAGACTGAAAAAATATGTGTTATATTTACATATATACCATATGCCTACATAAATAAATAAAATAATTGGAAGAACCCCAATCTCCCAGATTTATGATCATGCTGACCCTGGAAGCACCTGAGCAGACATCACTGCAATTTTCCTTGTGGTGACAGTTATGGGCTCCCTGAACTTTATGGGACCAGTCTTCAAGAGATCCTTCATTCTCTTGGCACTGGATATCTTTCATAAGGATCAAATGGAGCACTTATTGCAGCTTCAGTGACATTTCTACAGGAAAATTGCTCGCACAGAACTTGAGCATCATCTACGTCTCAACCATTATCACAAACTATGGTCTAGCTTGCATTCGTAACTACTTACCAGTGGTAGTGGTCATTTCTGTAGAAGGTAGAAGAATTTCTAAATTAAAATAATTTATAGATGAATAAATATCAAGCCACAACACCAGATACTTCAAACTTCTCTTTTTGCACTTGCATGCATAGGATACCAAAATATAAAATTAGCAACTGCCCTATATAGGATCTCGCCACATTTGGAAATTTCCCCGTCATAGAACACTTCACCAATACAGCCAGCATGGAGCTGGCTGGATCTCATCACATGACCCACAGCTAATTCCTGTGCTCGCTGCATCAGCAAAGTGTTCAGTGATAGGGAATTCTGAACATGGGAGACTACCTTTGTTCAGATTAAAAATCAAGGGGACAGTGCAAGAGCATGCTGGAAAGGTACGCTTTCCGGCATGTGATGGGCAAGCAAGTGATGTGGGTGATGCAGGGCATTGGGTGATAAATTTTCCCCACTGCCCCACGATTTGCCCCACTGCCCTCTGGATTCCCCACATCAAGGATCTCCTTGTGATGAGGTCCATAGTGTGCTCTTGATATCTTTTGGTGTTTGATTCCAAGATCCCTCAAGGATATCAAAATCTTTAGATACACAAGTCTTATTATATACAAAATGTAGTAAAATGGTGTCTCTTATATAATATGTCAAAATCAGGCTTTTTTTCAGGGGGAGGGGGGGTTAAAAATTATTTCAAGCTATAGATGCTAAATCTATGAATGCAGAATCTGTGGGTGCTGCATGCATACAAACTCATCTTTGTGTTATTCATTCATTAATGACGAGTAAGGCAAATCAAAGTTGTAGGAAAGCCAAGAAATGGACCACAACCTGGATACATTGTATTTTGGAAAATATTTTTTTAAATCACCCTTGCTAAATGTTTGGGAAAAAAAGGTTTCCAATTGATCTATATGTTTTCTTCCCAAGTCTGTCATTCACAGGTTACTTTTGTCAATCTTCAAGCATATGCCCCTCCTCCCTTTCTCTCTTTTTTCTCTCATCAGTGCTGTTATAAGGGGAAACTACTAACTGGGAGTGAGAGTTATTACTAGGAGAAGAACCTACAATATCCTTCAAACTGAAAAATGAGGTAATCTGATTTCTTCATAACCCTAAACAGTTTTAAGAAAGTACATGCAAGATGAAGTATTCTACATATAAGTCTTTTGTCCATTATTAGTACAAAAAGTTAGAAAATTCCAAAATCCAAATTACTCTTCCTGATGGTTCTGTGTACACAAACTTTGTTTCGTGCACAACATTATTAAAAGAATAATAGTTTGTAGTTTGGTGACACATCAGCATTCTTTGGCAGTTCCCATGATTCCAAACTACCACCCCCATGACCCCATAGCGTTGAGCCAGGGCAGTTAAAGTGTATCTATTCTACAGCATAGATACATCTCAAGGTTTTCTTTTCCATTGCTGAAAACTAACACTTTTGTTTTTAAAGAAGGAATGATAAGCAGGCAGCCACTGTAATGCACACCTTTTTTGGCCAAATTACAAAGAATGCACTTTTTGTCACTGAGTGTTACATTCAAGAGCCAATACTTTTTTTGTTTAAGGATTTTGAACATTGAGGCAAGGATTAGATTCAATGGCACATTAGACTTGAGTAAATACAGGTAGTCCATTGTGTGTATGTTTTTAAAATATATGGATAATGTTGTTTTTTAAAAAAATGCAAGAAAAAGCTTTATCACACTTACCAGAAGAAAGATGATTCTGCTGAGTAGTTGATGCAACAGTTTCTAATTAGAAATACAAGAAAGATTATATTGCTTTGAGTTCTTAATTTCCCCAGATTTTTATCCATAAATTCTCCAATCCATCCCTTGAATATATAAAGAATTTATTTATAAGATGAGAAAGGTGATATACTATGTAGGCTAAATAATTTATTTATAAGAAGCGTTACATATTATATATAGAAACTTTTCCTTTGGTCATTCAGCAATTCCAGAGACAATGGACTTCTTCACACATGACCCAGGGGGACCTTGCTGTTGAGCCAGCAGTCGCCAGCAAAAGGGAAGGCGCGTAGGGTGCCTCATGGTGCCCCACTCGCCCTTCCTCCTCCTCCTATTATATGGTGGGGATGGGACATGGCACATTGGCACTCTATCCCTATCATATAGGAGAAAAGGTGGTAACATGCAGGAATATGTGTTGCCCTGCTGCCCTTTCCCCCATCATATGGTGAAAGGGGGAAGAAAGTGTGGGTAGCTCCGGTGGAGCTACTTGAAAAACGCTTTCCACCCCATGGTGGAGGAAGAAGCACCTTCTGATATTTCCTCTCCACTTCAGGAGGAATGTGGGTGGTGCCTGCCAAGCATTGTCTGATGGTGCTTAGCAGTCTCCATCCAGGCCCTGGCCCAAAGTGGCAAAACAGGGCTATTAGCTCTGTATTAAGAGGTCCAATAAAGGCTGTCAAAACAATAATGAGAAAAGGACGTCACTGGAACCTGAGCTCTTGATTCTCTCAGAAAACCGTTCGTCCATTAGAGAAAACTTTTATACTTGAGAAACAGTTTGAGGGGAAAAAAAAACTTTCTTCCAACTGGAGAATGCATATTTGTACTCTTCATTGGGTCATTCAGCAATCAGAAACACAGGAGATCAAAACTGGAATCGAAACTGTAAACAAAGGACCAA